CACACACACACATACACATAATATATATTTATATATGTTATATATATTATATACAATATATATATATATATATATATATATATATATATATATATATATATATATATATATATATTTATATATATGTGTGTGTGTGTGTGTGTATGTGTGTGTGTGTGTGTGTATGTGTGTGTGTGTGTGTGTGTGTGTGTGTGTTGTGTGTGTGTGTGTGTGTGTGTGTGTGTGTGTGTGCGTGCGGTGCGTGCTGTGCGTATGTGTGTGTGTGTGCGTGTGCGGGCGTGCGTATGTGCGAGTGTGCGTGTGTGTGTAGAAATTATATATAAATATATACATATCGGAAACTAGATATGAAAATAGACAGAGAGATAGATAGATCAAAAGCTAGCTAGTTAGATAGATCGACTAGTAAATCGATAAATACTTAGATAGATCGATCAATGAATAGGTAGATAGGTAGATAGATGTAAATATAGATAGACGGGTAAAGAAACAGAAAGATAAATGATTGAACAAGCAGTTCCATTCATACATACAAACATGAATACACACACTAATACATACTTACTGCTAGATACTCGGTAATTCTGCCAATTATGAATCATTAAGGTATCACATTTTATAGAAAAAAATCATATGAAAGACGCATTTGATCATAATGAGAGACAAAAGCAACGATTATGTTAATCATTAAAGCGGAGATATAATTGAAAAACAACGATTATGATTATAATATAACCGTCTACACGAAAGAAAATATAGAATAACAGATGTGATATAAGGAAATATAATGTAACAGCAAATTTGATCAATTTAACAATACAGAAATACAATAACAACGATGATTATGATAATTACAAAAAAAAAAAAAAAATGTATTAAAAAGCTACATTTGATAATAGATTTGATAATTATAATAACGCCTATACACACAAAAAAAAAACAATGAATGTTATAAAGATAACAACAACACACAAGAACGACACATTCTACATAGAAAAAATAGACAAGCACAAATAATCACGATAACTAACACCCACATACAAACGAAAAATACATAACCATCATACTGATTACTAAAAAAAAAAAAAAAAAAAAAAAAAAAAAAAAAAAAAAAAACATGATCATTAGACCGATACTTAGAACAAGCCAGACACGTCAAGTCATTTCAGTAACATGACCGCTGATGACTTTCTTTTCAAACCCGATTCTCCGCTCTATCCACAAAGGGATTAATGAGTCGGAAAACAATTAGTTCCCTTGAATCTGATATTTTTTTGTGTTCCCTTGTGGTGAAGTTCAGGGTTAGTGATGGTGAAGAAAATTATGTTGTCGGTAGTTTGTAAAGGATGATGGTGATGGTGATTATGAGGTTTGAGGTGGTGTTGATGATGATGATGATGATTATATTTTAGGTAATTTGTATGGGTGATAGTGATTATGAGTTTTGAGGTGGTGGTGATGATGATGATGATTTTTAGGTAGATGGTAAGGGTGGTGATGGTGATGATGAGGTTAGAGAGGGTGGTGATGATTATGTATTAGGTAGTTTGTATGGGTGATGGTGATGATGAGGTTTGCGGTGGTGGTGATGATGGTGATGATTATTATGTTTCAGACACTTTCTATGGGTGATGATGGTTTGAGGTGGTGGTGGTGATGTGGTGATGATGATTATGATTAAGTTTTAGCTAATTTGTAAAAATGATGGTGATGGTGATTATGAGGTTTGAGTTGGTGGTGGTGATGATGATGATGATGATGATGATTTTTTAAGTAGTTTGTATGGGTGATGATAGTGATAAAGATAATTAGGTTTGAGGTGTTAGAAAGGATGTGGTGATGATGGTGATGTTAACGAAGCTTAGGTGATAGATAATGAGGCTTGAAATGTAATGAAAGATGTGGTGATGATAGTAATGATAGTGAGGTTTAGATACTAGAGATGTGGTGATGATAATGATAACTATGTGGATCAAGGTTAGTAAAGAAGGGATGATGATGATGTTAATGAGGTTTAGAGAAGTTAGAAAGGATGTGATGATGTAAGTAGTGATAAGGATGTTTAAGGTTTGATAATGACGATAATGATGGTGACGATAGTGATGAAAATGAAGCTAAGGATTTTATTACCAAATACGATGGTAAGGATGAAAATGAGAAAATCAACAAACAAACAAAACAAATAAAGGAAACCAACCAACCAATGAACAAACAAGAAAATCAACAAACAAACAAACACACAAGACAATCGACAAACAAGAAAATAAAAAAAAAGAAAATCAAACAAGAAAATCGACAAACAAGAAATTGAAAAACAGAAAATCAACAAAAACAAGAAAATCAACAAAAAACAAGAAAATCAACAAAACAAACAAAGGAAACCAACCAACAAACAAGAAAATCAACAAACAAAAAAAAAATCACAAACAAGAAAATCAACAAACAAACAAAAAAATGAATACTGAAAACCTCAACTGACTTGATTTGATTGATCTGACAA